GCAAAGGTGGATGAGGACAGTCACAGTGGTGGGATGTGGGAGCGAAGGGTGCACAGTGGGAGGGAAACACTGTGTCCATGGGCCCACATATATTTTAGTAGATAAAGTCTGGATTGGAATCCAGATTTAACTGCAACCCAGCTCTGCACTACGGGAGTTATGATTCAATAGGAAGCGTGTGCAAAACTCCTAATGCAGAGCCTTGCACATACAAGTGTTTGCTAGCTGGACATTTTAGTACATTTTTAGAGACAGACAGCACCTGAGAGCCACCTACTCTAATAGTTCTCTAACTTCACTGTGAAAGTGTTTGTATAAAACATAGGTCCTGGCCCCCATACCTATGGATTCTGGCACAGAAGGTGTGAGGTGGGACCAAGAAAGCTCCCTTTTTATCTCGTATTATACATTTCTTTATTTTTAGTAAACACTTCTATGATCCAGGTGGTCTACAGACTATAGCTTGAGCCTAGACTCAGATGCTGTCATTTGGTAGTTCCCCTTCCTGGAGCTATTCTAGAGAAACTCTTTTTTATGTGCACAGTAAAGAATGTACAAGGATATTTATTGTGACATTTGGTAGAGGTTAAACATTGAAATAAGCCTAAATAGCTTCCAATTGATAAATAATACACAAAAGTGTAGTGTATTCATATGATGGAATGTTAGGCAACAATTAAAGAGACTAAGGGAGAGCTATGTTCTGATGTGGAAAGATCTACATTTACTTTCATATACTTTGTGAGGAAAATATCTACTTCTACTGCTATACAGGAGATCTGAACAAAGCGATTGCAATTTTGTTAGGTAAAGATGTTTTTAACTCCAAGCAGTATAATGGTTTTAGGTATTTACAGAGAAAAAGAAATGTAAGTAACCCGAGAAACGAACTTTGTGAAGGTCATGGGGCCATTACTTCAACTTTAAACCATCTTCCACTGTTATTCACACACTGCCTATGAAGATGAGTCCAATTCTAAGATATATTGCTTAGTGAAAGCAAGTTACAGAGCAAGATGTACCATGTGGAACTATTTATTAAACATAAAGCAAACAATACTATTTTTTTATGAGTGTATATGTATGTAGACATAGGATGTAAATGCTTAAAAAGGTTTGGAAGGATTCAGATGTGATAACAGTGCTCCTCTTTGGACAGTGGGAATAGCAGACAGCAATTGGGGTGTTGTTGCTTGTAATGTTTTATGCATTTACAGGACAAATGTATTGATATATTACTTGTGTAATTAAAAATCTATGAAAAAAGACCTGGAGGAGACCAACGCTTCCATTTTATAGAGGAAACAGATATTTGCTTGCCAAGGCTCTCAGAGAGCATGGTAAACCCAAAGGGAGAATTCAATGTGCTTGATTGTTTATTTCAGGGCAGTAACTTTCTTCATCATGCCCAGTTGAACTCATCAGGCATTTTAGATGAAGATGTGGTAGACATAGACATATATATCCTCATCATCAGGAGTCAGTGGTTATGAAGAAAAGGCCAGCTGGGGCTGGGCTGGGATTCTCTAGGTAGTGGCTTGACTAAACTTGCATTTGTCAATGTCCAGCAGTGATCAAGACCCCAGAAACACTAAAATGAGGAGGAGACAGATAGCTTTCAGAATGCCTATTAATTTATAATGAGAAATATAACCATATGGGCTGCTGTGTTTGTATTAGCCTGACCACAGCATACTCTCCAAGCCAGCAAGCTACAGCAGAAGCCAAATGATAATTAGAAACCCACTTTGTAAGTTACCATGAGTAATCACTATGTCACATTATTTTAAGCATTATGATCAACACATTCTCTCTGAGGGCAGAATGAGGAAGGACTTGGTGAGTGTGGAATCAAAACGAGAGGATTTACATTAGTCAAATATTTCATGGCTTCTGGTTAAGCTGCATCCAGCTCATAATGGGGATCAGGTTACCAATGGGACTGGAATATTAAAGTCCCATTGCCTTAGGTTCCTTGGGCCTGTCTGGTTGGGCTCCAATCCTGTTTGTGCCTCACAAATTCCTTTTTCTATGTTCTGATGGTTGATTAGTCCCTTCTATAGCACCAGTCCTAGGTATGTTAATATATTTAACCATTTTGCTGATCTGGGATTTAATTTGGTTTTCTTTGTATCTCTCCTCTGATCTATTTTGTGTTGCTTTCACAGTCTAATGCTTGTTGCCATCTCAGAGTCTCTGCACTTGGGATGCTCTTGCATTATCCTCTGATTTCTCCTTCTCCACATTCAGATTGAAGCAGCTTAAAGTCAGTTTGTTAGAAGGACCTTCCCTGAGCAGTCAGTCTAAAGAAGCCACTCGTTCTCTGTCACTTCACTTTATTTTAGTTTGTGTGTAATGCTCATTGGCTTATTAGTATATGATATTTACTATTTACATCTTTGTGTTTTAATTTTTGGTTGTCTCTCCCATTAGGATATAAGATCCATGAAGGTAAGAACCTTGTCAACCTTTCTTCTTCTCTATTCCCAGCATCTAGAACAGAGTCTGGCACTTGATAGGTTCTCATGAATGCTTGCTTACTTCTTTGCTGAATGAATGATCTTTCAAGAGACCAACGGTGCTTTTGTAATGTATAAGTTCTTGGGAACATCTTATTGTAATCCCAAACAATATGACAAAGTTATCTTCTTAGAAATGAACCTGGCCAAGAATCTACAAGTCTTGGTCAATCCTCAATGGGTGTCAGGCTTATGAAGTAAAGGGGAAGGTTGGGGGGAATGTGTTTGTTCAGAAATGTCACCCAAGTGATTGTTCTCCTGCAGTGAGGGCTCACTCAGTAGCGGAAGCAGATGCCTTTAAATACCCAAATGCTGCCTGAATAATAGATTCCAGTGGAGATTCTCCAGAAAACTGTGGCATTTACTAAACAGGAGAATTGTTTGACACATTGGTGCCATGGTCTTAAAGTATTAGGATGAAAGATAATCCTGTAAACCAAGAGGAATGGCAGAGAAGTTCAGGCCAGTGAAGAGCTAAGGCTTTAATATTCCCAAGATATTTGCATTTCATCAGATTTCAGAGCCTTTCTTCAGAGTCAAAAAAAGTCACCCCTCCCCTCATCATAGGGTACTCATCTCTCATTGGGTAGGGGCAAATCTTGAAAGGAGTAAAACAGACCCCTGTCTGATGGTGAATGTGATTGAATTTTCCAATGTGCTGTCCAGGAGAGGGATTACTGATAAGGAAACATCCATAAGGTAGGTGATGATTACAAACATGGATTTATTTTATCTTCTATCAGGTCTTTTGCAATAAGATCCCAGGCTTAAAAAAGTTGTGTTGATGTAATTTGCCTCAAGGAAGTAAGAATATGAATAGACATGATAAAAGCATGCAATTGGTAGAAGGCAGTCTTTCCTCTGTTGTATTAAATCTATTTTTTGTATTGATTTTTGAAATGTGGAAGGTTGTGGTATGGAGTATAAAATCATTCTTAATCTTAAAGTCACTAAGTTTGTGAATATCCATGAGACATGTAGAATAAATAAATTCTAAAGGGAGATTATAATATATTGATATTACTGAGGTCAAGCTACATATTTTTGGTTCCATGCAATATTTAACTCCCTTTCAGAGATGAAGATATTAAAAATCAGGTTTTGTTTAGATTACAATACTGTGGTATATCTTCAGTTAAGATGATGTAGGTAGTTGTATCAGAAATGTGGTTTCTATCATAATAATTATCTGGTGAGGAGAAAAGATAGTTTGCTTTCAAAAATATGTTATGCCTGTGATATTTTAGGGAACAATTACGAACAATAATAAAAATTTAATATGCATTTAGCTTTTTATGATAGAATTAGTGGAGCTTACATTTCTAGATCTAATGGTCATTTTATTTTCACCCCCTCTGTAAAGGATTTATAATTCATGAATAAAAATTAACTGCTGGATATGGGGATATATGTATATGTATAGCTGATTCACTTTGTTATAAAACAGAAGCTACCACACCATTGTAAAGCAATTATACTCCAATAAAAATGTTAAAAAAAAATTAACTGCTGACTTAAACTTGACTTGAGGGTTTTCAGGACAGAAGCTAATTTTTATGTATTATGTTCTTTCTACCAGTGTTTAAGGCAAATCATTGTGGCCATCCCTTTTTGATCCTAAATGCTATTTTCATTTTTGAAATTTCATAAAGAACTCTGTCATTTATTTTTCTATTTTTAAGAAGCCAATTTTTCTAATAACATATCTGTACTAAAAAAAAAAAGGAAATGCTATGCTTCTGTGAGAATGAAGTCAGGCAGATCATTAAACAGAAGAAATCTTATCTAAAGATCTTTCTAAGAAATAATTTTCCTTCTGAAATTCGCATTTTATTCCTTCCTCTTCCTTTCTTCCTCCTTAAGTTCTTTGGCAGAAATCTAAAATGAAACTAATTGCTTTACTTTTTAATCTTTAAAATACAATTAACTAGAGATATACAAAATACTGCTTAATAAGGCCAAAGGTAGGAAAGAAGATATTCAATTGAAACATCACAGCCTTTATCCCTTATCTTTTATTGTTGAATGAAAACTAGACACTTGGCTGCTTTTTTCAATTTCTGGAATTGATAAGATATTAAGCAAGAGTCCATACTAGAAAAGAAACTTATTTTCATTTATGTGATACCTACTGTAGTGATATGACATTTACTATAATTTAGTCTTACTGCGTAGCTTATAAGATTTGAAATCTAAGGGCTTTGTATAATCTCCTTCCAAGTGTTTTAATTGACATTCTGCTATAATGAACCCCATAGACCATTACCTGGCTAATTGCTTGAGTTACAGTGCTTATTCTTTGTCCTTGATCTTTTGGGTATTAAATAGCGTGGCTGTTCTGGAAGAGGAAATGGACTGCTGGTTTGCATGTGAAGCATTAACCTCTTGGTAGCTTTTTCAGGGACAGACTCCCTTCTGTTCTTCTCTGGGCTGATACCAAACCTGATGCTCATCAGAGATCCCTGTTATTCTGGGATTCTCAGCTTTCTCCAGGAGAGCCCTTGACCTCTAAAGGGTCTTCCAGAGCCACTGCCACAGGCAGAGCTTTCCATGACGTGCCTCTCAAGTCCTGGAATAGGCCCTGGACCAGGTGACAAAATGAGGATGTAACAATATTTAATTCTCGAGCGATATGATTAGCCAGGGTTTGTTGGGAAAAGAGTCTTAATACTTTAGAATTAGAAAAGGGTTTATCACTCTGGCTCATCTAGTCCAAACTCATTGTTTTTAATGGTAAACTGACTTGCCCCAGGTCTCTCACAGCTGTTAGTGACCCAGGTTCTTGACTTCATTTTATGGAGTTAACAGAATCCATATCCATGATGAAGTCTTGGAAATTAATGCCAAATTATGGAGTTAGAGCAAAGCAGGAAAGTGCTAGAATCAGCATGTCAGTACGACCCAGAAAAATGCAGTGTGGCCAATATCCTTGTTTCCTGCCTTTTTTTGGTCAGTGGTATGGGTCAGTGGCAATGACCTTATAAATGGTGGGAAGTAATTAAGGGTTTTTCAAAAACTTTTGGAAATGTTTTAGAGGCAGGGTAAGGACCAACTCCATTACCTATAGGCCTAGATTGATTTCTCTTAGTAACTTATGATTCAAATGTTTCTATGGGGCCTGCTCTTGCCTTGATCTAAGATGCTAAACAGCTGTTACTAGTTCGGATTCCGGTGGGCAGGATAGGAACTGATATCTTTTGGGATATATGTAATGTCTGTTGGCATCCTCAAACATTTTACTTTCCTAATGTTTGTTTATAAGACATTCAGAGCACTGGAATAAGTTTGGAACACTGGATTTTAGAAAAAGGGAGATCTTAAACACTGCAGAAATTGAAGACAAATAGAAGTTTGGTAATTGGAAATATTTTTGTATAATAAAGCATTTATTTCATGCCATATCTTTAGCAGATTTACTTCATATTTGAGTTCCCTACATATGAGCATGTGAGTAAGCTGATAAAAGGATCAACACTAATCTTTCCACAGTGAGAAGCGAGGCTACCAGCAGAAGGTAAGCTACTAGTGATGAAAATTTTCATCTATCATGTTATCTGAAAAATACCTTTTGCTTCAAAGACAAACTCCTTGTCCTTGCTTTTTTATTTTTATTTTTTAATTGAAGTATAGTTGATTTACGATGTTTCAGGTATACAGCAAAGTGATTTAGTTACATATACATATATACATCTATATACTTTTTTAGATCCTTTTCCAGTACAGGTTATTACAAACTTCTTTTCTTTAAACCCTCTAATCTGCTAGATTCTGTATCCTCAGGGTTGTCCAGAACCTCCCCATCAGGGTACCTCTGGCTAATTTTCGGGTGGACCTGATGGAGCACGAGTGAGCTGGCTTCCACTCCTTTCCATAATAATTCCCTACTGAGGAACACCCACGACAGACCTTCTGCTTGGTCGACAGAAACGTGAAGTGGTTTGCTTAGGTTTGGTTATACTTATTTAAATGGGTGTCTAAATAATTTATGTCAAGGAAGTTGAAAAATTTCAGTGAAACCTCTGCTTCGTGAAGAAAGTTTCTAACATGGAAGCCAGTTTGGCTCCACCATAGATTTTTGTTAACATGCCAAAACTTAACAAAAATATATCATGGGCATAGGTAAATTTTAAATTCAGTTTTTTAGCAGCAACTTCGATAGATTATTAACTGCCACCAGGACCAACTAATAAACAAGTAAGGGAACAAATCAATCATGTTTGGGCCCCATTGCTTTTTTCTTTTTATTAATCAATGGACTTTATCTTTTAGAGTAGTTTCAAGTTTACAGAAAATTGAGCAGAAAGTACACAGTCCCATGTACCCATCCCCCCACCCCTCACACACAGTTATCCACTGCCTTTTACAATCAGTGGCTCACTGTCTACCCACCCAGTCACACTGTCCCTTTTCTCACCTCCTTTCTCTCTCTCCATAAAATAGGAAAACCACTACAGCAGACACACTCAGAATCCCTGTGAGGGAAATAAACAAAGATGAACCAGAGTAGTAAGAATTTCATTCTTGCCTTTGCCTAATTCCATTCTTAAAGGTTTCTTTTGGTTTTTGGAGATCTGGGGCCAGGGCTTATTTTCATGCCTAAATTAAAGTACATTTATAACCTGTCTGCTCATCTGTGTGGGTCGAGTTGGCTTTTCCACCAGCTGCTCACCTGAATGATTATTTCCTCCTGCCTTAGCTTGATTGCTCCCAGCTCTCCTGAATGCGATTCCTTCTCTGCACCCAATTCTGTGCCATGGGCCTCGCCTGCCGCTTAGAACATTTTGCTTCCTGGATTTAACACAAAGTGGGCGGAGAAGAGGTGTAACTGAAAAAGTGGTGGCATGCACAGAAGGAAAAAGGCATGCACAGAAGGAAAAAAGCATCCACATTTGCTGCCGGACTTTTTTTTTTTTCAATGGTGTTAGAGACTCTGAACCAAAGCTAATCCCTTTTATCTAACTGAAAAATGATGAGAATATGTTTTTATTTTACTGCATACTTGTTAAATACAAGAAGCATTTAACTGGGCAGAAGGTAATGTTATATTCAATGTGCTTAATAAAATTGTAATGGATTCACTTATTTTGACACTCTGGGAGAAGTAGTCTCCCACTGGATAACGGAAATTATGATGCTTTTGCTGCATCTCTTGACACAAAGGGATGAGCAAGCCTTATTAGAGCTGATCACAGTCACTCTGGAGTTGCCCTTAAAAAGTAAAGTGGGAAATAGGAATCTCTAGTTGCAAAGTTTCTCTTCCTTCCTTTTGATGGTGTTTTATTTGTGAACTCAAACTCTGAGCTCAAGGAGGCCTGCCTGAGTTTGCTGGAAGCAACCAGGCAAGAGAAAACAGCTTCTCAGAAATTCTCCCTAATTCACCCTTATGGCTGCATAGCATTGAGAGCTCAACAGCAGGCACCTTAAAAAGGAAAAGAGGAGATTATTCGATGGATGTGGCTCTCGGGGAAGGAGAAGGAAGTAGTGGCAGCAACTGGCCCTCCCTGTTTTCCTCTCCCTGACATGCTTATATAATATGCTCTGTTGTGGGACCTTCTTCCTTGGGATAAACATGCCTGAAATGAGTGTGATGTTAACGATCTCACTTGTCTGCGGCTCTTGATTCTCAGCTCCACTTTTGGTTACTTGTTTAGGCGGAAAGGTCACAGGGGGCTGCCGACATCCTAGGAACAAGCCCTGAAGTCATCCCATTTCTTGACTGGGGCTCAGGCTCTAATAAAACTTCCTCTTTTCCTCATAACCTTTTCCCATATAGGTTGTTACAGAGTATTGAGTATAGTTCCTTGTGCTGTGGTGGGTTCTTGTTGATTACCTTTCTTATATATAGTAGTGTGTATACCTTAATCCCAGCCTCTTAATTTATCTCTTTCTCCCACATTTCCCCTTTGGTAACCATAAATTTGTTTTCTATGTCTGTGAGTCTGTTTCTGTTTTGTAAATAAGTTCATTTGTATCATTTTTGGGGATTCTACATATAACTGATGTCATATGATATTTGTTTTTCTCTATCTGACTTACTTCACTTAGTATGATCACCTCTAGGTCCATCCATGTTGCTGCAAATGGCATTATTTCATTCTTTATTATGGCTGAGTAATATTCCACTGTATATATGTACCACATCTTCTTTATCCATTCATCTGTTGATGGACATTTAGGTTGCTTCCATGTCTTGGCTATTGTAAACAGCACTGTGATGAACATTGGGGAAAGATGCACTTTTCAGATAAAAATTAAAGTAACACTTGTTTTCCAGAATGGGTTGACCTATTAGTTGTGAATTAACATCAACAAACTGTTGTAAGCCACCCTCATCTCCTATTGCCTGGACTGCAGCAGCTCCCATGTGGTTTTACTGCTTATTGTTTTGATCTACCTGCAACCATCCTCTACACAGAAGCCAGGGTCTCGCTCATGCTTTAATTTTCAGTGACTTCTTAAAGCTTGTAGAAGAAATCCCAAATCCTAATGATGGTCTACAGCACCCTACAAAGTGCATCCCGGGTGACCATGACAGTAATCTCTCTTCCTCACTCCATATGGTCAGGCCTCCAGTACCAAGGGCACACCTGGTTCCTGCTGCTTGAAAAGTTCTTCTCCTTGCTCTTCCTGAGACTGGCTGCTCTGATTCATCAATGCTCCCTCCTCAGGCCTTCCTAACTTAAGTATCACTTCCTTAGATATGCTTTCTCTAGCCACTTGTCTGAAACGATCTTTCCTTGTCACTCTTTATCAAATACCCCTATTTATTTCTTCCATAGCACTATTACAGTCTGAAATATTGGATTTTTTTTACCATCAGATATTTATTACTCTCATTGGAATGTAAGTTCTATGAGAGCAGATATTTTGTTCTATGACTCCTGCATATAATGTGTCTACACAAAATAGGTGTTTAATAAACATTTGTTGACTGAAAGAATGAATGAATGTGAAACATGGGTATGAGAAGGAACACAGCATGGAATATTGTTCATAATGAAGTGTTGTGAGAAATTAAAAGTAACTGTTCACATAGGAAAGGAATGCTATATACATAAAAGTCCATTTTATAATCTTATATAATGATACAAGTGTCAGAAGGGAAGAATTCTCTACAAAAGGTCGAAAAAGACCATCACTGTTACAGCCCAACAACATATCCATACCTATCTGTGTGCCTAAAATTATTTCAAAAGTCTTTATAATTATACTGGAGTCAGCATTCAAGAATGCAACTGGGATGCATCACTGGTGTGGATGATGTATTTGCAGGCTCAGAACATTGTGGGAGGATCTTTTGACAAAATTTTTTGGGATATAATTGGATCCAGCTAATTTCTAAGAGATTAAGATGTTGTGGATGGATGAGGAGTGACTGGGTTAAGAAAAAAGAGAATGTAGGATTGGATATAAGATGGGCTAAGGCAGGCAGGCTGGGAGTTTATAATAAGAGAAGTGGAAGTAAAAGTAAAGGGAGAAGAAGAAGACTATAGTAGGATTCAGTCTGGGACCCCTGTAGCTGTGTAAGGCAGAAAGGGATTTGATACAGGTAATTAGGTGTTCATGCAGTCATTGAAGGGGAAGGAGCACAGGGCAGGAAGGGCTGCCACTAGCTGTCAGGTTTGTCACCCGCCTTCAGAGAATTAAGACTTTGCTAGTGATGGTCACAGCCAGCTACACAACCAGGGCAAGAAATCATGTTGTTGTACCAGAGAACACTGCAAAACTTCGATTCTGCCAAAGTCCATATGGTCACTAGCTGCGGCCGGCAGAAGTATAATGGCTTCTGCTTCCTTTCTGTCTTCCACATCCCATGCAACTGTTTCTCACTGGCAGAAACTGAACTGGAGCCCTGATGGCAAGAGATTCTGGGACAAGTAGTCCTCAGGCTTTGAGTTCCTGAGATAAAGGAGAGAGCATATAAAGGGATGGAAATGGGGCCAAATGCCAATCTGGTACAATATGAGAATAGGAAATACTTGTCACTGCTTTAAAATACTATTTCTGGCTAATTTCATTAGCTCTAATCCTCACTAAAAATAATAGCCAACAGTAACCACCAGGTGCACTGTGTTAAGAGCTTTACATGCATTACATCATTAAGTTTCACAACCGTAAAATATGTCTCTACTATTATTATCTCTATTAAAAAAATAAGGAACTAGGGCTTCCCTGGTGGCGCAGTGGTTGAGAGTCCGCCTGCCGATGCAGGGGACACGGGTTCGTGCCCTGGTCCGGGAAGATCCCACATGCCACGGAGCAGCTGGGTCCGTGAGCCATGGTCGCTGAGCCTGCGTGTCCGGAGCCTGTGCTCCGCAACGGGAGAGGCCACAACAGTGAGAGGCCCGCGTACCGCAAAAAAAAAAAAAAAAAAAAAAAAAAGGAACTAAGACTTTGAGAGGTACAATATCTTGCTCCCAAACAACTCGTAAATAGAAGATCTGAATCTTGTACTCAGGACTCACTGTCTACAAAGCCAATGGCTTTTAGTCCTTTTACTATATTACTTGCTAG